TCTGCGTAGTATTTATTAACCTACAAAAAGCATATGATAGGACTCATAGAAAAGCAATCTGCTAGGTTTGGGAAAGAAAGGAGTTTCAAGAAGGCATGTCGATATGATTAGAGATACGTATAAAGGGACAGTAACGAGTAACCAGCATAAGAATTAAGAAAGGGAATGCAAGAAGTTGCAACCACAATGGGTTTACACCAAGGGCAAACACTTGTTTGTATCTTTTCGCATTAGTCATGGAAAACTAAGTAGACATTTATGAGGTCCCATGGTATATATGTTGCTCATTGATGATATAGTTTTGGTTAATAAGAGCAAGGGTTGGCTAAATAGAAAACAGATAGATGCTTTAGCATACTTAAGATTCTTCAATGATTTTGATGTAAAAATAAGGAGAAAACAAGAAAATGGAGTGCAAGAAGATAAGAGGGAATATGTGGAATGTGTGACTCAATCTTCAGAATTGGTATTCAAATCAATGATCCAAACTACAAAATGCCCATGTTTACATGGATTTGACAATGACATAAATATCCATGTTATGCCTAAACATCCCCCCCCCCCACTCAAAGTGAGCAATAGACATTGTAAATGGCCATCTTACATAGATCATCTTCAAGTTTGTTTTTCAGAACTCCTTTTGTCAAGCAGTCAGCCAATTAATCTGTTGAATATACAAATGGAATCCACACTAGCTACTTTCTCTCTAATGAGGTGTCAATCCATGTCTATATGTTGAGTCTAATCATGCTGAACCAAGTTGTGTGCAATATTTATTGCAACTTAATTGTCACAATAACGTGCCAATGTAGAGAAAGGCAGTATGTTGCAGCTCATTCTAGTGCAGATACTGAATATAGAACAATGGCTTGGGAAGTATTAGGAGCTATTATTGGATGAAGTGTCTTCTTACATAGCTGGAAACGCAAGATAATCTCTTATAGAGCTAGAGTAGCCAAAAACAGATCCTCTATCATCAATAGATCTTGCCCAATCAGCATGTGTAGGCTTCAACTTTCAAGTGCCTATCATGGTTCAAAGTATCGATATGCCTCTGCGTATTGGTAGAGGCATATTGGTACTAAAAACCATGCGCGTTTTTAAGTGTTTTCAAAACTTCGTTTTTGGGGGTGCTTTTAGTGTATTTTTTATTTAAAAAAAAGGGGGTTCCCAAAACAACTGTAAACGGGTGTATCAAGAACCCAACAATACGATACAAAACACCCAATAGAGGCGTATTGTATCGAAATTTTGATCCTTTCCTATGGTGCCCTTTATCCATTGCCTACATATGTGAGGTTTGAGGCTGATGAATAAGTTGACTTACAACACTAATGACATAATATACATTCATTCGTATCAAACAAAGATATAATAGCTGCTTCACTAACATTTGATACATTATTCAGTCATAAGGAATATCACCATCATCAGTTCCTAGTTTGTGATTTGGGTCTATATGTGTATCAACTAGTTCAGCACCCAACTTCCCTATCTCTTTGAGAAGATCCAAGATGTATTCCTCTTAAAAACAAATATTCCCTTCTTTGATCTCGCCACCTAAATGCCCAGAAAATATTTGAAAATTTACAAATTCAGGCATAAGAAACTCCTTTAGACTAGAGATCCCAGATAAATTCTCTCAAGTAATCACAATGATCTACATTCACAATGAACAGACACAGAACTTGCTACTCTCTTAATGAAGAACCTTGAACAGTCACAGAACAGTCAGCAGGACAAACAATTGATGTCTTGACTGGAAATAAAGAACCTTGGATGGCAGCTTATTTATGAGAAATACCACATTTTGAATTCAGCCCAACATTTTGTGGAGGAAGAGCAAGCTACTTGCAACCTCAACCACATGTATGTTCTGCTTTGTAACACCATTCTGTTAAAGAGCGTAGGCACATAAGCACTAAGAAATCACTCCTCTTTCTTAGAAACATATGTGAACCTTTCTCCACGTGCTTTTTAGCAGTTTTTGAGCTCAAAACTTTTATTATTTTTTCCCATACTGCAACTCCACCATGTTGAAATGTTTAGTAATCTGAAGGCACCTCATCCCTGCTCTTCATCAAATGTCCAAGTATATACGGACATTTGTTGCTACAAATCAAGACATTGAAGCAAAGCAGCCAAGCAACGCCTTGACAACTTGACAACTGTGCTAGGAAAGCCAAAACTGCATCCCCCAATGCTCTCAAGTTGAAATAGGAGACTTTTATGCTTTCAGCTTTTATAAAACATTTAAATCAGTAGATCATATAGAAGTAGAAGGGCTAATAAAAGAAGACTGTGGCTAAGAACTGGAAGGTGTATTGAATGTGCATTCCCCCTTTTTGCATTCTTGAAATGCTCTCGTTTCAAGTAAGGATAATGCTTCCAACAATGATCCCTAGTGTGTTTCAGATTCTTACAATAATCACACACTACTTCTCCCTCCTAAGTAGCAGTTGTCTTACCACCACTATCCTACCTCTATTTAGCAATCACTAAGGCTGTGTGCTCAATCTCAATGAACTGTCCCATGGCTGAATTAGTGATGTATCTACATTTCTTTTTAAATAAGTAAATCAAACTCTAGGCTAAGACCAGTCAAGAAGTCAAAAACCTATCTCAATTAGGTTCTTATATTGCTTTGCATCAAGAGAATCTCTCTGCTGCTCAGAAGCCTCTAGGTAATCAATCTCTTCCATACTGCCTGTAAAAAGAATAGTACATGGAGACTGATCGTCCCCCTGTCTCATCTTCTCTTTTCATCCAATAGATTCCTATAACATTTTTAGCCTAGGAATATGTAGTAGTTTCTCTGTCTTATATTTCCTTAGCCACAGATAAAAACATGTATTTTATTGTGATATATGGCTGCATAGAATAAATCAACTAAGCCATCACTAACAAGAATCATGTACCAGCCAGCTGTACAACCTGGTGACGTTAGCTGGCAGCAATAATGATATCAGCAGCCAACAAAGAATCCCTTCACCAAAACTCCTTGCTCTCATACCTACTTAAGATTCTTTAATGGTGTTGATGTAAAAATTAGGAGAAAAGAAACAAGAAAAATCAAGTGGATAAGAGAAGATAAGAGGGAATATGTGGAATGTGTGAACTAATCTTGAGAACCATTCCCTATTCATTGATATTTAAACCAATGAAGCAAATTAAAATAATATCTCATGATTATTAGATTTTTCAATGTCACAAATACCCCTGTTATGTCTTGACAAGAATCAAATGGTTTCAAGATAAATTGAACTAAGTTTACATGTATTTGCAATTTTTAGTAAAAATATTAGTAATAGCGGTGGTGCAATCAAGATTAGCAATCAAGATATACCCCAAACCAACAAGAGTAAATAGCTTGGATCAATCATCCATGATGAGGAAAAATTAAAGAGGCCATTGCACATAGAATTAGAACAGAGTGGCTGAAATGAGATGTATATTCATTTTGCTATTTGAATAGCATATACCAATGAGACTAGAAGGACAATTCTACTAGATTGTTATGGGACCAGCATTACTATATTGGGCGACACATTTCAGGATCAAGAAACAACATGTTCAAAAAATAAATGTAGCTGAGATGGGGATGTTAAGATGGATGGATAGCAAGGCTAGAAACAATAGAATCAGAAATGAGTACATTAGAGAGGATAAAGGTGTAGTTGCAATTAGTGACAAGATAGGGAAAGTCAACTGAGATAGCTTGGTCATGTATATAGACTATCAATGACCGCATTTGTGAGGAATGAATTGGTATGAAGGATCTAAAAGAACAAGGAGAAGAACAAAGAAAATGTAGCAATTGGTATGAAGTGGTTTAAAGGCTCATAATTGACAGAAAATGCGGCTCTTAAAAGTTGGACTAAGACTGAGCTGAGTTGACCACTTCAAACCACTTTTTTCTTCTGCTAGCCCATTAAATGCTACTTTTTGGGGCTGTTAACTCACCTGTATTTTATTGATTGGTAAGAAAATATGTACAGTGTAGAATACAATCAAATTTGCCTGACTGAGCTAGCCAGCCACTATACTTTACACCATTAATTTACACTTTCCCAGAAAACCTCTGCTCTGGTAGCTCCTTGTTTTGCCATTGAATCTGTAAAAGTATTTGCAGATCTCTGAACCTAACAAAAGGTGATCTCCATTTAATGCTAAATTTCCTTCATCTCATTTGTATAAACCCATGCTGGTTTTTTTTTTTTTTTGCCCCTTAGCCAGTTCACTGTTATTCTTGCATTGTCTTCTACAATCATTGAAAACAAAAATATTATCTTATTCCATATCACAGCATTAAAATCCACCATTTCCTATATTTGCCTAAAAATTTCAGAAACCCAAGAATCATATGAAATATGAATGTAAAAGTACACTTTAAAGTTCCTAGCTAAAATAGACCATATTATTTGGAGGCTTGAACCGTAAAACCTCTGAAGTTGCAGATAGAGTTGGTTAACAAAAAAGGAAGAAAAAAATCCATGAAAACAATGCATATCACCAACTTTGGATTAGGGATGTGAACTTATATATGCTCTATTACATGTGCAACAATTTCTATTTTCTATATTTCCACCAGGCAAACCATCATGCGAATAGTTTGCATGCAAGATAATGTCCTCATCCACAATTTCTTTTACCGTATTCCTGAGGGCTCAATATCACTAAAGCAATAAATACGCACTGAAGAGGCTGATATACAGAGAGCAGAAGCAAATAGACAGACCATTAACTTGCAAAATGAACCAATTTTCAATCTAAAACTCAAAAAACACCAACGAATCAGTAGAAAGGCAACTTGGTATCGAATCTTCTGCAACCCACAAACCCGTAAATATTTACAATCCGAGAATTCCCAAAACTTTCTAAGAAAAAATGGCCATTCAAGATTTAGAGAAAACCAACAGGAAGAACAATGAACAACAATGACCGTATGAATCTAGAGAAAAAAAATAACGAAAGAGTGACAAAGATTTTAAGAAATGTACATTTGGGTTTCTTCGAATTCCTCTTCGGAGCAGGAGGATCATTCCCTCCATCGGCTGCGGAGCTCGTAGCTCCCTTCAGGTTCATCCTTAGAGATCTGAAAATTAAATTAAACCAAATTAAATCAATGGGCAGAAAAAAAAATGACTGCAGAGAGAAGGTAACAACCGAAAATTGAAAGAAAAGAAAATATGAGAAACCAAAAACCCTCGTACTGGTTCTTCTTCGCAAATAAATTAGGGACTCTTTTGCTTTACTTTTACAGTTTTTCTGTTCTTTTTCTCTTTTTTTTCTTCCTGTTTTCTCACGTTCTGTTTTAATGGCGTTGCTAAATATGGCAGGGTGGCAGACAGAGAGCGGAGGGCCTCACCTCACACGCTCGGGAGCCTCAGAGGATGTGTTTAAAAGAATTAAGGCTGACTAACTGATAATTAAGCCCATAAATAAACTAGTGACCAGGCCCATTGGGCTGGACCTACGTTTTCATTCTATAGTCCAACCCAGTTGTGTACATATTCGTCCCGTCGTCCCCCGATGAGGCGACGACCGATGCCGATGTTGTCAAAGTTAAACTCGGACCGGATATAAAATCGGAAAGTTCAATGGATCACGGCTAGGGGTTGATTCGAGCCGAGCTGAACTGAATAGTTAGGCTCGCCAAGGTAGACTAAGTAGTACGAGGCTTGAGTCCGGTTCAAGCTATAACCTTGAACTCGAGCTCGAGAAAATGTTTTATAAAAATAAAAAATTATTTGGTATTTAAAAATTATTATTATTATTATTATTATTATTATTATTATTATTATTATTATTATTATTATTATTATATGTATGTAGCTACTTGAGCCCTGCTCGCAAGCCTCACGAGCTGAGCTTTATTAGGCTCGAGTTTGGCTCGATTAATAAACGAGCCAGTAAATTGGGTTCAAGCTCGGCTCGAAGCTCGGTTGAAACTAAGCCAAGACGAGCTCGAGTAGCTCATGAAGAGCTCGGCTCATGGCCACTACTAATCATGGCTTTTAATGATTCAGGTAGGTTCAATCGTTCAACCCATAAGAATTGTCAAATAACCGAGGACCCAGAAAACTTAGGTATTATATATTTATCAAGTGTTTTCGACTCATTGTTGACTCAATTGGTTGAACTTTTATTTTGGGTAACCTTTCAAGATCTATGCGTCCCAAAGGTACCTTGCCCCACTATTTTTGCGGAGAAAAAAAAACCCTTTTGGCCTCAAATTGCAATTTTTAATATTTTTATAAATTAAAAATTAAAAACTCAATTAAAAAACATAAATTAAATATAAAAATATATATAACATATCTAAGACATATTTATATATTATTTATTGATAAAATATATATTCACACACCCCCCCACACACACACACATATAAATGGAAAAAATGGTTTGGCCTTCGGGTCAATTTTTAAAACATTTGATTTATTCAATTTATTTATCCCATTGATAAACCACATGGAAGTTTATTTTTTATGGTTAGCTTATAAAAAAGGTAAAATCAAGGTTCAAAATTTCATTAACATCTATCGATATTTTATCAATGGATCACCAATATAGCAAATGATAGAGGTTTGGGCTTTTAACCTATTTTGGGGTATAAATAGGCCTAATACCTATCCTTGAGTTATTTTTTGAAAATAAAAAATAAAAAAATAAGTTGTGTAAGGTTCAAAGTATAGATACACCCCTTCCACCATATTGGGGTGTATGATATTTTAGTATTCTGAACTCAATTTGAACAGAGTACAAATACAAATATGTATAGTGCAAGGCCTTGTACTTTGTATTGTAAACCTTGAATTTGTATTGTACATGTATTTGTACAATTCCCAAACTAAGCTTTAGATAAAGTCCAAAATGACATGGTCGTTTGGCAAATCTTTTTTGAAAGATCTTCTAGAAGCTCTGACAGTCAAAAGGCGATGCGAGCTTTTGCATCAAGATCTTAAGAGCTTGAAGACCGTTTGGTTAAAGCGCGTCTTTCTGCGCAAAGATGACTTGTAAAAAAAAGGTGAAAAGCTTCATTCAAGGCTACAGCTTTTAGCAGCTAAATCTTTTCCCAACCAAATAGGAAAATACCAAAATGCGAGCTACTAGGCTTCTCGCACAAAAAGATGCGCCAAACGGGGCCAACATCATTTTATCTTATTTTCATTTTTCAAGCCTATTTTCATTTGAAGTTCAGTGAGTATCTCCTTTACCTTATTGTCAAAAATCTTAGGAACTTGGGAAGATTAAGCCTTGAGTTTGATGAATTTCTTGGGGTTATTGCTTTTGATGAGTGAGCAAGAATCATTTATTTCTCCTTTAATCGTGTTTTATTTGTGCACTTATTTTTAAGCATTTCTTTGTTCTCCACACATAGGATGGGGATTGGATTGATCACTTAGAATATCTAGCCATTTTTAAAAATAATAATTTAATAGAATTCCAATTAAAGATCTCACTTTTAGTATATTGAAACATTGACGGAAGCATTGATTTATAGTTTGTAGAGTAATGATTTCATCAAAAACTTCTTTGTATTTTTCCTTTATATTTTTAGAGTTTTTTTTTTTGTGTTAACTAATTGAATTTCTAGTGGGGAACAGAAATGATTGCCTTTATAATACCTATATTACCCTAGTTTTGGTGTGGGTCATAAAAGTTAATTTTGATTACCTAATGTTAACTTATATATTTATTCTTTATTTGCACACATGTATGGCACGTGCCCTTACAAGTTTACATAGTAAACATTAAAGTCAAAAAGTTGTAGATTTGAAACTCTCCATAAATTGTTCATACTTTAGAAGTTTGTAATAGTCAAATACGCGTAGTTTATGTATTGACAATCTTAGAGTTGGATGCCCCCTGTCCTCCATTTCAAAGTAGCATAGTGAGTTAATCCTATTATGGGTTTTTTTTTCCATTACAATTTAGGAAAACCCCTTTAAATGAAGTTAGTATTCTTAGCCATGTTGCAAGAAATATTGTCTACTCATTACCTTTTGCAATAGTGCATGATTTCAACAAATGGGCAAAGGCAACAAGCTCCATATGAAACTCAAGTAAAACAAAAAATAAAATAAAATATAAGAAATCACAAAATAATATGAAATTTTGAAAAAAAAAAACTTACCTAACATTGCAATAATTATAGTTGTAGAGTGGTTTAGGGGTAAAAGAAGTTTATTTATGTATCATGTCGAAATTTTAAACCTTGTGCATACATACATATGTATACATATTTTTGTTTATATTTAAATACATATTTTAAAACATACGTATACAAATTTTCATGCTATTTTTTTATTATTTTACAAAATATTAGTATGCATACAATGTACTATGTTTTTAATTGATGTTTAAATTATATATAATATACATATATAAATTTATATATATATATATATATACACAAAAAGTAATATAATATATATTACTATATATATATATTTGTCAACACTTGATTTTGATTTAGTTTCTTCACTCCTTTATACCATTTTTTTGGACCTCAAAACTAAAATATAACCAAATCAATTTATGACTTATTGAAGCCCAAAATTTCTTCTTTTCGATACAATCCGCATATCAAATGTCCGATTAAATTACATAAATAAACCAAGGTTCAAAGTATCGAATATGTTAAATGTAACGAAAAAACACTAAATATAAGACTTAAATTGACTATATATACATAAAAATCACATATTCTAATGGTTTTCATAAAAAAAAAACATATTATAATCAACATATGACAATAGAAACATAATGTCTACTAAGGTTATAATTACAATATACAAACCTATAAGTTAAAATCTTGTTCATCAAACTTGTTTATTAAATTTTCAACTCCAACTATTAAATTTAGGGGTTATTGTTGATAAGGACAACTTTTGGCCCCTAATATCAATAAAAAATAAGTATTCTAATATAATTTTTGAAAATTATTAACTTTTCTAAAAAAATATCAAAAAAGAGCAATATACTATTCATCTTCTTCCTCCTCCGAATGGTGAACATCGGGCGGCAAATTTCCTCCACCTCTCTCTCTCTCTCTCCCCCCTTCTTCTTCTTCTTCTTCTAATTCTTCTTCCTCTACATCAAAGTCCCCCTCTCTGCATCTGTCAAACTTAGCTCGTTGTAGACTTAGCTTGCATTGAGTTCTCTCTCTCTTTTTCTTTCTCATCATTCACAAAAAAAAACAAAGTGGAGAGGGATCTCTGCTCGATTCTAAGTTTGGAAGAACAAAGAAAGAAGAAGAAAAAGAAGGGAGAGAGAGAGAGAGAGAGGTGGGGGAGATTTACCGCCTGATGTTCACCACTGAGATGAGGAAAAAAGTGAATAGTATATTGCCCTTTTTATATCATTTAATCTACAGATCTACCATAAATTTTGGCTTCACTCATTTTTCTTTTCATAAGCATAACTTTCCTTTAATTGTGAATCCTATGCCTAAAACAATGTTCTTCACTAAATGATATTGAATTATAAGAAATTCACCATCTTGATTATCTTAATTATAGAAACTTTCTCTATCACCACCATGGTTATTATTAATATTACCATCTCCATTATTGTCACCACCACTATCATCATTATTATCATCAATTGTATCTTTTCTTTCTTTTTCATGTTTTCTAATCGATTGATCAACATTTACACCCATTTAACTAGCAACAAAAGTATTAGGTATAGGTGAATCAAATGATTCACCTAATACCCTTGTTGTATTTTCTTTTTCCTCCAACCACGACAATATTGGATCATCTTATATATAATTAAGATTAATTGAGTCAAAGTAACATTCTTGATGCATCATATTTATAATACGATGTTTAACCCTTAATCTCATATTATAATGGATATATATCAACATTTACACGATCTCATAGAATATATAATTATTTTAATTTGTATGAATGAGGTCGAAGGTACTCCAATTGTGTTCACAACCACTTATGAAGTAGTTGGTAAGAATACTTTAATTGTAATTTTGCGAAGATGTAGGATATCTTGGCCATACATTAACCATAAATCAACTGAGAAAAAAAACAATTTAGTACCAGGTATCATTAAAATAAAAAACTAAGGGTCTGTTTGGTTTGAGAGAATAGAACCTTGGAATCAGAATCAGAACGGGTCATTCCGTTTTTTGATGTTTGGTAGACCAAAATGGGAATGAGTAGGCGGGGTGCCATTCCCCCATAAATGGCCATTCCTGACACCCTCCCTCGGAATGGGATTCACATTCCACAGTTGACAAATGCTCAACGCTATTTTTGGGAATGTAATTACATAATAGAGATTGTTGCTTATGTCATCAATGCCATCAATGCCAAAATTGTTGCTTTGTGT